AAACTTAGCAGTGACAACACTTAGTAAATTTAGACCAGCTCTAGTCAGGAACCATCTTTACCTCTCTTACCTTTCTTAAAGGGAAATTTATTTATACTATTTAGACTTTATAAAGAACTAGAAAGCTACTGTTTACATACTTGCCTTAGAGCATGTAAGAAAGCAAGACATTAGATAGGGAGGAAATTCCTGATGAGTACTATTTTTACCCATTATTTAAAAAAAAGTATGTAAAAATCTACACATGTATAATTTTAGGGGAGAAGTTGTTTCTGATCTAAGGAAGGCATAAGAACTGCTTTAAGAATGATATGTTAATTAACATGATTGTGATTGTCATTTCACAATGTATATGTCAAGTATTAGGTTGTACATTTTAAATACATACAATTTTATTTGTCAATTATAACTGAATTAAAAAAGTATGATGGAATGAAATCTACTTTTTCGTTTTGTGTTTTTTAAAGACAGACAGGCTGAGAGGAATCATTTCGTGCCTATTGTAATTTTAGAGAGAGACTGAGCACACACGTAGAAATCTCTCTAACAGTGAGAGATGTGAGATAATTTACTGTGGGCCATCATGGATATTGCCACTCATATTTTACAATAGCTGATAGATTGAACATTATGAGAAAGAAAAATATATGTGTATATGTATTTTATTCCTCACTCAGGAGTATTTTTTCCATTGCTTTTTCAGAGAGAGTGGAAGGGAGAGGGAGAGAGAGAGAGAAACATCAATGTGAGAGAGACACATAAATTGGTTGCCTTCCACACTCCCCCGACTAGGGTTGGGGATTGAGCTGCAACTGATGTACATGCCCTTGCCCGGAACTGAACCTGGGACCCATCAGTTGAAGGGCCGAGGCTCTAACAACTGAGCCAAATCAACTAGGGTGAAAGAGAAATAGTTTTAATGCCTCAATATCTTCAAACCAGTATTTATTTGGTTATTTTGAGTTTTTACTTCTGAATATATTTCAAGCCTTAACTGCTGATTTGATTTTTATCCTAATAATTCCTAGTAGATTTATTTTTTAGCCATAGGAATGTTTTATATAAGTGAATAATAATAGTAATAATAAAGCCAACAATTATACATCAATATGACTGTTTAGCATTCTAAGCTCATTACATATGTTAATTCAATTAATCTTTATAAGGATTCTTTAAGGAAGTATGTTTATATTCATTTTATATATGAGGAAACTAAGGCAAAGAAAGTTTAAGCAGCTGGCCCAAGATCACCCAGGTCAAAAGTGGTAGACACAGGAATCAAACTCAGGTGGTCTATTTCCAAAATTGGGTACTGCTTATTGCTATAATTTACTGCTTCTTAAAATAAGTAAATAAATAAAAAGCTTGTTCTTATTGAGTGCTTATTGACAAAGGCCATAGACTTTCCTACCATGATGAAAGGTAAGGTGGAAATTGGGATTTGTGATAGTCGCCAAGGTAGTCAAATTATAGGAAGAAGTCTTATCCAAAAGAATTTATCAAATATGAATATTAATTTTAAAAAATATTCATGCATAAAATTTAGAATTTTGAATGATGGAGTAGATAGACTGTGGAAGAGTGCATTGGGAGCTTCAGAGGCCCTGGTAATATTCTGGTTTTTTAGCTAGTTGGTAGTACTTGGGTATTTTGATTAAATATTCTAACTATACATGTTTTATATGTACTTTTCTTTACTATATTTTATAATTATCAGAAATATTTATTGATCTAGTTGATTTAAGAATAATAATGGGATGGAGGGGTGGGGAAAGAAAGAAAAATAGAACCTAGTAACTTTTTTCAACATGTCAGAGTCAATAATTTGTATTAATAATAAGCTTTTGGTTTTTTAAATAGTTTGTTGTGTTGCTGTGAGAAACTGTTTAGAATGTCGGCAGAGACAAAGAGACAGAGGGAACAAATCTTCCCATGGCAGCAGTAAACCTCAAGAAGCTCCCCAAAGTATGACTGCCACAGCAACTTCAAAGGTAACTCAATATTTTCTATATTAATATAATTTACTTTAAATTTTTTTTAACTTTATGAGAACAAAGCTTCATGGTATTGCTTAATGAAACACCAAGGGTTTGGTAATCACACATCACTAAGCTCCAGTGCTGGCTTTTCCTCTTCATGATGTGGTACTGAGATTATCTAACCACTCCGAGGCTTGAATTTTTGGTTTTTACATGAAGATACTAATAATTTCTACTTCATAGGTTTCTTATAAGGATTATAACATAAATAGATCTGAAAAGTGAATAATGTTCTTTTTAAATGTATATGGTTTTAGTGATAGACATCCCTATAAGATTCAACAAAAATATATTGAATGTCTAAGAAATGAATGAACAGTGTATTTTGGAACATGCTATTATCATTCTAAATTAGCTGTCTTTATCATATGTTTAAGTGACTCTGCAGTTTGTCCTCTTACCCTTGCTTTTACCATTTTAGTCACACTATAGACTTCATTCATTACATCAGAAGAATATTTTTTTCTTTATTTACCAACTTTTACATGGGTTCCCTTTCCTTGAAGTTTGCATTCTTATTTTTCACCCAGCTAAAATCTATTCAACTCTTGGCTGTAACTTAAGGGCTACTCTGAGGAAAATGTTTTGAGATACCCTCACCACCACCCTGGTCTAGGATAGATATATTTTTGATATTTCCATAAAACCCTGTATGTCTCGTATCACTCACTACACTTGTATTTAGATGTTTGATATCGACACATGATTTTTTTACTCAAAAAGTAAAGGCATGAAATCGAAGTTTAATTCATTTAAAAAGTTCTATGGTTTTAAAGTTCTGTAGCTTTTAAATAGAACAACCACATAGTTAGTACATTTGTATTACAGCATCTTTCTTTTTCACTATATTTAGAGAAACATTCCTAGAATAAACTATGTATTATTTTACTGCTAACAAGTCTCCACATAGCTCTCCATTGCTTACAAAATTAAATATAAATACATTAGCAGTAATGCCTCATGTTATTTGTGTGGGCATAGTAGACTGTAAGTTACCTGACAACGTTCCATATCTTGTACATCTTTGTAATTTCAGAGCTTGTATAGCACTGTGAACACTTTATCAAAAGAGCACAAACTCTAGAATTAAACAGTTTTGAGTTTGTATCCTGGCTCTACCACTTAGTGATTTTGTGACTTAAGACAAATTCCTTAATCTCCTGTGCCTCAGTTTTCCAGTCTTTAAAATGGATCAAATTTTAACTTTAAAGGTGTTTGTATGTCTTCAAGTACTTAATTTCTGACAGGAAGTGAACACTCAATTAATACTAATTCCCTTCCTCTTTCTAGCAGTTAACCTTACTCATTGTATGAGCTCAGGAAATGAATAAATATACTAGTACTTTTGAGAGCTTTGATCTTAAAGTTGTCTGTACTTAATTCAGGAGGCAATAGGGAGCTTTTCAGGAATGTAAAGCCAACTATTAACCTGATTGTAGAATATGTACAGAAAAGCTCAATTAAAAGGAAACTTGTAGTATTTAAGTTGAGGTAGTCCATGTCTCTAGCAAGAACATTGGTAATAAAAAATGGATAATCAGTGATGAATATAGAAATATTATAGAAATAGTTGACTTAGTAAGATAATTCATTTCAGGACAGAAAAGCAATGGACCTGGTTCGTGAGTGTTCCTTTTTTTACTCCCTGTTTTTATGCATTTTTTATGTGCCACTTTAATAAGGAAAACTTAGTTTGGGTGTGGTCCTAACCTGTGTGGGTTTGCATGAGTCACATATTTTCATTGGGTCTCATTTTTTTATACTTTCTAAAAAGGAGCGATGATACAAGCTTTTTTTATAAAAAAAGTCTTTATAAGGATTAAATTATATTATGGATATAAAAACACTTTGTAAAATGATATATAAATTAAAATGTCATTTTTAATTTATGCTATAAATTATGCACTTTTCATTTATGCTGTCAGTGCATTATTTTCTTTAATTGTCTTGTGATAAATATTATTTCTTCTTATTATATTATTTATCCTATTATTTAGATAATATCTAAATAGGTTTATAGAGGTTAAATATCTCACTGGTAAGTTTTGAAATTGCAATATAAATCAAATAACTATCTACCTTCAAAAGATCATGCTCTTTTTACTACCCTTAGCTGCAATGGAATCAAGCATCTTAATTGTAGAAATAAAATATCATAATTGAAGTCTATAGAGAATGAGAAAGAGGCCTATTTATTTTTAATCAGAGTAACAGCAAGCTATTTTATTTACAGGAATTATATGTTGTTCATCACATATATTATCTAATTTAATTCATACAATTAAAAAATTATTTGATTTGAGAGGGAGGGAGGGGAAGAGAGAGAGAGAGAAAAAGGAGAGAGAAATATCTATTTATTTTTCTACTCATGTATGCATTCACTGATTGCTTCTTGTATGTGCCCTGACCAGGAATTGAACCCCACAACCTTGGGGAATTGAACCCGCAACCTTGGCAAATCAGGATGACGCTCTAATCAACTAATTCATGCAATTCTTAACATATTGTGTACACACAATTCTTAACATGTTGTGTAAGTGAAAGAGTACTAGATTGAGTTTCAGGGAACTTGACTATTATTAGTTTGCTATGTTACACATTACATAAAATTTGTCAATTTTTGTATCTTCAACTATAAAAATAATTTTGATGGTGATGATCTTTAATGTCTTTCAGCTTTAATATTAAGTCTATGTTTGTATTTTTTTTAAGTTTACCTTGTCTAACTTTTTGTAGCTCATGAAATGGTTATACATAAAAAATCTCATATAATAATGTAATATAATAATATCTTATTATAAAAAGTATGATAGCTAAATGAAACCCAGTGACTCAAAGAGATTAACTAACTAGAGGTGGGCATTGAGGCTCAGAAAATTTTTTTTTATAAGCCCAAGGTCACACAACAGAGATTAGAGCCCAGATTTTCTAAAGTCCAAAATCAGTCTTTTTTCTGCCACAATCTTACCCACTTTTCTAAGTCTATATTGGTAGCTCTGGTAATAAAAAAAAAAAAAAAAAAAATAACTAGTAAAGGAAATCGACAAGATATAGGAGATCAGAAAGTGTCTTATAATAGAGTATTGTCATCATTAAATGTTATCCATTGATGAGGAGGTAAAGAACATGGGCAATTTAATGCCTAAATTAGAGATATTAGAAATTACATTACTATATAAATTTATGTATTATACTATTTTTTTTTAAATTCTTTATCTTTTTTTTTAGAATNAAAAAAAAAAAAAAAAAAAAAAAAGTAACTAGTAAAGGAAATCGACAAGATATAGGAGATCAGAAAGTGTCTTATAATAGAGTATTGTCATCATTAAATGTTATCCATTGATGAGGAGGTAAAGAACATGGGCAATTTAATGCCTAAATTAGAGATATTAGAAATTACATTACTATATAAATTTATGTATTATACTATTTTTTTTTAAATTCTTTATCTTTTTTTTTAGAATTCATTAGAAAATGTTCCAGGTAATCTTTCTCCAATTAAGGACCCTGATAGACTTCTGCAGGATGTTGATATCAATCGGCTTCGTGCTGTTGTCTTTCGGGATGTGGTAAGTTATGCCCACTTGATTTCCCAGGAAAACTTTCCACTGTCATTTGTGTAAAATAATTTAAATTTTAGAAGAAAGTTGGATATTGAAACTAAAGATCCCAATGTTAGGATTTGTAGGGTTTATAACATACTTCTGTTTATAAAATGGTTGAGCCTTAGCTTTCTCTGAAAGCCTATTTATGTGTTATTTTTTAAATTATGTGAAATTTTGATATAAGTTGTATGTATACTAAGAAATATTATAATTTAAATTGCCTTCAGTCATCTATTCTTCTCTTTTAGTAATCCCTGCTCCATGTGTAGGTACTGAGTATCAATGTTTCTTGTATTATGGATAAAAGGGATCAAAAAATTCATTATGGTATTACTGGCAATTACTATTTTTGGGGGAATAATTAATTTGAAAGAAGAATCTGCATTTTAAAAATACATTTATCTATGGGAAATTGAGTTAGAAAGGTAGCTTAATAAAGCTTAAAGAAAAGATAGCTTAAGCAGACAGTTTCATGGAATACTTCAGTTATATCATCACTTAAGATAAGTAAAAATAAGATTGGCCTTTCCACATATTGTGTAGAAACGTATACAGTATTTCAGAGCAGATTTAATATAACAGTACTGCATATTATAGTTGTTATCTATCAGCCACTTTGGGTTCTATTTTTCTTTTTCTTTTTTATTAAACATTTTTTGCAATTACAGTTTACATTCAATATGATTTGTATTAGTTTCAGGTGTATACCATTATTTTAATTATTGATTCATGAAACATAGAAGAAAGTTTATGTTTAAAATTTATACTTAATAATTGGATGGAGTACTTTAGAAAGTGGTTAAAGTATATTTAAGTCATATAGTATATTACTACATGGTAGGAATATACAGTAGAAAAATCATCACTCTAATATATATCAGTTCTTTTAAGTCACTGGGAAAATTATAAATATACCAACACAAAAATAAGCAGTGGACATAAAATATGAGAGGTAAGGTAACAGACATATGATAAAAATTCATTATCACCAGCAGTCAAAAGGATGCAAATTAAAACAAAAGTGAGATATTTTTACTATTAAATAAACATAACATGTAAAACTATTAATACCAAAATTGCAAGGGTACATTGAAATACACTGTGTCATATATATATGTATATATGTATATATGTATATATGTATATATGTATATATGTATATATGTATATATGTATATATGTATATATGTATATATGTATATATATACACACATATATGTATATATGTACATGTGTATACATATATATATGATGTATACATACATATGTATATATTCATTCTTACCAGCAGTAGATATCTATCTATCATCTATCTATCTATCTATCTATCTATCTATCTATCTATCTATCTATCTATCTATCTATCATCTATCTATCTATCTATCATCTA